CCAGGTGACTGGCGAACCACTGCTGGTGCTTGACATCCAGCATCTTCTGGAGCTCCTTGAATATCGACTGTAGGGTCGTGTCGGTGGCGTTATTGAGAGCAAACTGGATTTTGCCCTGGGCATCGGGTGTGGGGTCTTCGTAGCTGATCCCGGCGGGAGGTGGGCCAACATTGATGGACAGGAACGGGGGAGGGTGCTGTTCCGAGCTGAGACTGTCCTCTAGACCGCCATTGGTCAGTTGCTTGTCACTGCCGGCGATGGCTGGAAGACCGTTGCGAAGGGTTCGGGCCAACTCCTCGTCATGCTCACGAACCACCTCTTCCGCCTTCCTGTACGCCTCCGTTCCCTGTAGTCCGGGTATCAGGATCAAGTCCTTGCAGAACGCAGGCCATTCCCGCAGCCGGCCAAAGAGCTGCATGAGCGCCTGAAGACCGAACTTGTACATGGGCTCCTCGGGACGATTCTCCTTGACGGCCTGCAAGATCATACCCAAGCCAATTTTGAGGGGGAGTCTCGATATCAACTTGTGAGAGATTATCCCACCGAAGAGCACTGCTGTAGTGGCGAGGGCCTCGAGAGGATAGTCGACATAATGGGCGTATTCGTCAAACAGACCGTGAATCATGCACGCGAAAATGTCCTGCTCCAGCGGCACACGCGAATGTTTGTAGTGTTCGAGAACCTCGACCACACTGCGAACCTGCAATTCATCGCCGTACATTTTCTTGTAGTGCTCTTCCATCCTGGTCGTAGCTGCTGGTGCAAGCATATTCCCGCCCCGCCCATTGTCATCGATGATGTCGTCGTAACCTTCCCCATAGTTAATCAGGCGGGGGTAAGCTGTTATGCAGTGTCTCTGAACATTAATCAGATCCACAACAGGGGCTTTCAGGTTGAACCTGTCCAAAATGTCGAGCATCATATAGACTGTTTTGACCTGCAAGGGTGTGTGGGCTTGTCCATTGTCTCCGCTCCGCTGATACGTCTGCTCCAGGTTCGTTTTTATCAACAGAAACTGATTTATGGCCCTGGCCATCTCGCCGGGTCGCTCAGCGTTCTGGCTTGCCCACTGCTCCAAGTTCAGAAAACCTTGCGCATGCGCATAGGCAACGAGATCAAGCCCGAAGCCAGTGGGAAGGAAAACCAGCTCCTGGAGCCACTTGTGCCTCACCGCAAACTCGAAGATGGTTGGCAAGACAATAGGCTTGAGAGCATGCTGTTCTTCCAGCCGCTGCATGACCCACACCTTGTCCCGTCTCCAGAGGCTTTCCATCACAAAGTCGGAGGTCGGTGTCTTGTTGATCAGAAACCCCTCGAATAGCGACGCCAGCGTCTCTTCGGCCATTGTGGGCCACGGCTTAGGAACCCCAAAGGCTGAGGTGACAAAGACATGTAGATTAGGCACAACGACGTCTTGAAACAGGCGCTTCGCCTCTGTGCTCTGTGAGGCATGCATCGAGTGCAGAGCCACATTGAAGACAGCAGACAAAGCAGCCTCGGAGACCAGTGGGTGTCTAACGGCGAGGGCAGCTATTTCCTGAATTGCCCGGTCGGATTGTACGTATTCGTCCACCGTAAACGTCGGCTTGAGGCCTGGGATGGTTGTGGCATCCAGTTGCTCCGGGGTGAGTGAGGCATAGGCGCAAATGAAGGACAGCTGGGTTTCGGGATTCTCCCATTCTCCGCCCCACAGCCGTTGAATGTTGAACCTGTCGAGATGCTCGAGCGCGATGGGTAATAATGCATTGTATAACCGCAGAAACTGCGCCGAAGTTACGCGTGCATTCGCATGGTCGAAATACGAAACGACATCCTGCCACTGGAAGCTGTCGGGCAGTATCCGCCTCAGGGCCGCAACGAGAATCGAGGGTTTGTGTGGCGGGGTCTGGCTGATGGTGGTGTACAGAAGCGCGGCAGATACTTGCTCTTCGGACAGTTGGATGTTGGAAGGTCGGTTCTGGAGGTAGCTCACGCATGTCTCCTCGTCCTTGGTGAAGGCTGACCCGACACGGTATATGTAGAGGGCCAGTGCATTCGGTGGCCTGTCGGCGAGGAGGCGAATCAGGTCCAGGGCCGCCAGAACCTGAGAGGGGGGCGGCTTTCCGTCTCCTCCTTGTGAATACCGCATCGACACCTTGTACTCCAACTCCTTCTTGGCGGCAGCATTGAAGTTTGGCGGGTGAAGTTGTATGAATCGGTCGAGCAGTTCGGCAACGAATTCGGCGGGCATGTCCATGTGTTCCCCAGTCGGTCGACTCAAGATATTCACAAAGGTTGGGTAGTTGGTAGACAAAATGGCATCCGCTGCGACAGTGAAACCATGTCAGTAACAGAGGGAGTAGGCACGCTGCGCAAGGGCGTCTTACCTTTGGTCTTCAGGTCAGCCCTGCTACCTAGTTTGAAGGCCAGGGCCAACAGTGTCTTTTCGAGGGCATCGAGTTGGAAGTGTTCCATAAAAGTCGACAAGTCAAAATTGTGGAATATATCTTCGGTGCCGGTCTCGATCGACTCGGCGATCTTCCTCGCTTGGCTGAAGTCTCTGGCAAGCAGCTCCATTTCGGCAACGAGGAGTTGCATGTTGTTATTGTTGGAATTCGCTACTGGCCGCCCCGCGCCGGGGAAGATCTGAGAGGCATTGGAGGCCACCAGGCGCGTGAAGTATCTCGAATAGACATCCATGCCGTGCTCATGGATAAGCTGGGGAGAAGCCATAACAGCAGGTTAGCAGTCGGTCAATAGGGTGCAGGAGTAGGTATGGGATATGGCAGTTGACAGTGGGGCAGAAGGGGCAGCGGAGGACAGAAGGCTGACAGCGGCATAAAGGGCGATTGGCACCGCACCTTTTGCAAAGCGTCAGTCTGTGACTTCCACCTTCTCGGATCGCCCTTGTCCTCTTTGATGGTGCTCAGGAGCAGGAGAACCTGGGCAACTGCAATCTTGGCCAGGGAGCTGGAGCCAGTGGGGCTGCTGGTACTGGGGTTGGCACCCGAACTCAGCGCACCGTGATGATGGGAGGGACTCTGCGAGTGGGCGAGGCCAGTGTGGAGGGGCTGGGAGGCAGAATTGGGATTGGGTGTGAAGGTTCCCTTCTTGGAGTGGGGGACCATGGATTACCAGGTAGGAATTATGTGTGGAATCGCCGGTGCTGCTATCCAGGGCAAGGCGGGACAGAGCGACTCTTTTTTTGGTGGTGAAGGGGGGGAGCGCGAGGCGCTACTAGGTATTCTGTAGACGTGTGTGGTACGGCAGAGGGGTCTCTTTCTCTCCCGTCTCTTTGCGGATCTCTGCTGGGGTAACGAAGTAACGAGGGCTGCTGCTTGTAAGGCCTGTGACGGTGGTCGCGGTCTGGTAATATTGTGGATGGTATTGGCAGCAGGCTCTCGGCAGGGGGCCAGGGACGGTGGTGGGTGAGATAGGGATGGTGATGGAAGATCGAAAGTCGCTTTTTTACGACGTTGTTGAATGGCAAGTGTTGCTTGCCGAGCTAGGTATCCCTTTGAGTTTGGGGCACTGAGATGCTTGGCACCCACGGCCAATCGTAGCGACGGAACCGGCGTGATCACGTGAGAGTGTACCTGGAGACACTAAGCAAAATGTGGGGTGACAAGGCTCCGACCGTTGGGTGCCTGAGGAATTAGGCGGCTGCACGCATCGGATTCACCCGAGGCCTACAATGGTATGTCAGTCCGTTCAAGAGGCCTGTCCATGTGTGAGGAATAAGATTGTGTTAAAAGGGCATTTGCAAGACAGTCAAAGGTATGTTCTAATGCCAACGTAGATAGGCCTAGACTAATGTCCAATGGCCTTGTTTACACTTGGGCAAGCCTGATATACAGTTGTGGCAGATGCTAATTCGACATGACACATCTCTTGGAAGAGACGCATTTGCATGAGGTGTAAATCGTATGTTGAGAGTTCATTTGCAAAGGTAGGGCCGCTTGAATCAATAATTGAGACACTAAAGTAGGTTGACATGCCTTGAAGGATAGTCTGTAGGCCTTTAAAGATAGTTAATAGGCCTTGAAAGATCGTTTAAAGGCCTATTAATTTACTTTCGAGGCATAGTTTACAGTGTAACATGGGTTAACTTACTTTTGTGAGTCAACTATTTTGTGGTGAGGGTGTGTGCCCGGTTGAGAAAGGCATTGCATAAAAGTTGCTGACCAATACCCATCCACCTCATCCCTCCTCAATCTCCATCTCAAAATGTATGGTCTATTCGGGTTTTATGGCAGACGGCTTCACTCAATATTTGCAACCTGCAAAGTTCCTGTGCTCACCGCATCATACTGTGCTGATACCCATCTTTAGTGGGTCCTCCGACTATGCCCCCTGACAGGTCAAGCTTTCTTCCTCGTTTCTTGGTTTCCACAGGACATCCAGTCGTCCAGTCAAGCTTTCTTTTGTTTTTGCGCCAGTTGATTTGATCAGAATGCTTGTCTTTGGTTCACAATACACAGCACAGCACAGTTATACGCATGATCCTATCCATTTCGCACTGCCACACGCCGCTATATCCGACCCAGTCTACCATAATTGCGACATGGCTGTTGGTCCAGTGTTGCAGAATAACCCACCTACAGGCGGCTCACGAGCTGCTTCTTTTGTTCCTAGCGCCGGCTGCATGGTGTGGTACAGCAACCAATGGCATTGCCCTCGCTGCGTAGCAACAATGGCCAGCCAGGCCCAATAGTTAGAAGCGGGAGATCCCTCGTCTGTTTCGTCCGGCACAGACTTCCAGGCTCGGTCTCGATGTTCATGGATGGCAAGGTCTATTTCAAATATGTAGCGTCGTTGGCCGTTGTCCCCTCATCAGCCTGCCCGTGCTTGGCGGAGCCCTTGGCAGGCTTTTAATCACTTCTCGCTTCTCCCATGCTCTTGTTCTTTTCATCTTTCTGGTGATCCATGGTTTAGTGACTTTCACCACCCCAACTGGACGCTGGACCAGCTCCCTTTCGCGTCTTGAGCCCATCTCGGCATCTTTCAGGGTCCACAGAGCGATGGACGGAAACACTGGTGCAAACAACCCCACAGACAAGGCTGACATCGACAGGGGGGCGGAGAAACGTCAGGAGAAAGACGAGGCCGAAGAGGTCATAGCCCTTGAAGTGCTACCAACACGGATTCAGTTCAAAGATTCCCTTCCCAGTCGGTCTTCCAGAGAGTTTACGGAACGCGGCCGAAGCATCAGCAAAGGACGCAGCCCCAGCCCGCCCCGTATCAACCTTGGCGCTGGATTTGCAGAGTATAGGGGTGATGTGGGCGGCCATGGCTACGATGAGACCGAGGTAGATATCATTGCCGTTCCCTGTCCTGGGGCGGATCCGATCCAGACATGGATCTACGACAGCGATTCCAGCAGTGCCGAATCCAACTATCATGTCGAGGTTGGATCGCACATCACCCGCAGCAACCAGAGCACCCGCAGCTCCCAGAGTTCTCTTCGCAGGTCAAGCCCATGGGTCACTTTGAGGCTGCGGGAGCGCGTCAACATTGCTCGGGTATTCTTGTATAGGCACCGGCATCTTGAGGAGGGAATGAATTTGAAGTCGTTGGCGAATGATCTCCTTGAGCAAGTGCAGGACATTCGCAAGGGCTCTGTAAGTGCATGCATCTTTCTGTCTCGTTTCTGCCGTGTGTGTATTTCCCAAAAATCAGATGCTGATTATGAATATCTCATAGTCTCGGCCCCTGTTTTTCATTGCGCATAGCATTGGCGGGCTGGTCGTCAAGAGTGCCTTGGTGAGAGCTAGCCAGAAAACAAAGTACCAGGATATAATGGACGACTGTCATGGTGTCACGTTCTTTGGTAGGCTTCTTGTGATGATGTTGATATTGTGACGTTTGGTAAAACCAGGCTGACAAAGCAACAGGAACACCACATCGCGGCTCAAGCTACATGTCGATGCCCAACCTCAAGGACTCTATTCAAGACCTTCTCCAGCTTGAATCGCCACTCCCCAGGTCCCTTACAGATGAAATCCTCGTCAATAATCCGAAGCTAAAACAGCTGCACGAGCAATTCGTGGACATTGCCAGCGAGCTCCGTCTTTGGTCCTTCTACGAGACTCGGGAGTGTTTGCTTTCCGGATCTGGTGCCCAGTTCACAAACGAAGTACAGTTTACTGCCCCTTTGGTTTCGGTGAAATCTGCTATACTCGAAATCTGGCAAGAAGATATCTTTGGCGTCGAAAGTGACCACGCGCATCTCGCCGCTTTTGGTCCCGATAATGAGGAGATTTTGCATTCATATCTTGGGGACTTGGCAGGCGCCGTCCTGAAAGCGGCAGAGCTTAGCCGGGATCATGTTCACCACCCACTATACCTCAAGAGCCATGTCCAAGTCGAAGTCATTGGGTTCTATGAGGATCCAGATGGCTGGATGGCTGCCACACAGCAGTATGCTGGTCAAGGGTCGGACGCGAGTGCCGAATCGGGCTCTATCATACGCTTGTATGCCACCAAATACCCCTACAAGGACTTCTTGAAGAAAGGCCCAGAGAAGTGCCTGTCTGAACGGTTACATGATCGATCGCAAAGGAAGAGGAGAAGAGTACGAAGCCCGAATCGGGCTGGCGGGCGGACAGACTTGCGGCCACCTCAGTTGCCTCAGGAAACTACAGCTGATGCCAACGTCCTCGGTATCACGCAGGGCCAGCTCGATGTTGGACATCAGGCTGGTGCTGGGATCGGCCCAGAAATCATCATCAGTGGAGGTTCACCTGTCGCTCTCGAAAGACCGGCTCTGTTGAGGGTTCCAGCTCAAACTATGCCTGAGCTACGGCCTCCAAGCCCCGAGAGCTTGGCCAGTGTATCAACCACGGCGTCGGACCCGTTGTTCATTCAAGGGAAGGACTTTGCAGGAGATGGGCCCTTGACCGTGGATTTGCTGGCCAGGCAACAAGCAGAAATTATGCTCAAGGAGCATGAACTCGGGGCGTCTGCTGGCTTTTCCCGGCCGAATCCCCAACTCAAAAAGTTCACGTGGATTCATATGCCTTTCAACAACCCGGTCTGGGTTAAGGAGATCTTTAATGTTCTTTCCGACATTCAAGGGCACGATTTTTCCAAGCTTTTTGACTATGACAACTGGCAATCGAAGCACATTCAGAACCGCCATTCCGAATCTCAGCCAGCATTCCTCAAACCAACTTGCAAGTACCTGACCAATACAGGCATAACCTCGCCACGCCCTACCCCTCTTGTTGGACCATCTTCATCGTTCTTGACACCGAACTGCCTGTTTGTCTACATGCCATACCTTCATTTTGACACCTACCGAAGCATGATCAGGCGCCGGAAGATCATCAGAGAGCGTCGGGAGCGTGGCAGGGCGAAACCTGTTCCGAAGCATGTGGCTGATGAGGACTCCCTTGAGCTCAAGATGATCTGGGAGTACATTGGCTTCGATCCTCCTCTCAACTGTCGTAGGACCTTGGACCAGTTCGGCCACCATTCCCTCAGAGACACCAACTCCCGCGATGATGACCAAATGCTGTACAAGCTCACCAAAAAGGATGCCTTCTCCCTGACGAAACAGCTCAATGGTGTTGCCACCAAGTCCCAGGTTGGGCCGGTTGGAAGCTCGATGTATTCAAACAAAGGTTCCAATGGGAGCAACGCCGGCTCCCACAATGACGACGATGAATACGAGGAAGAAACCGAGGCCGAGCTTCGAGACGGTTACGTACTGATGGTTGACCAGCTCTGGCTCTGGTCCATTGACAAGACCACCCTCACCACCTTCTTCCCTCGCCGGTACTCGACCCCAACAGAGGGCACCCTGTTTCACCAGGCCGACCTACGGAACAGCGTATACAACGAGCTCAACGGTGACCTCACCGGCCGTACCGAAAACGCTCTCGACCTGGCTGCTTTGATAGTCTACCACGCTGTCATCGTCTTCCTCGACCGTTCCACCCACCCAGACCTGGAGATCTTCCGTCTCTTTGACGAAGCCATTGGCATGTTGGCCGAAAGGATGACGCTTAATATGAAACAATTCCGGCTCCAATCTCTCAGCATGGACGATGACGAAGACGACGAGGACACCGACTACTCTGACTGGGAAGGGGAGAGCCCAGCCTCGATCAAAAAACGGCACAGAAAAGAGCTTGAAAGGTCCGAGAGGGAAAACAGAGAGAACACGTCTGCTCTACTCGAACTGGCAGATCTCAAGGATGAATTAACGGTACTGCAGACCCTGTTTAAGAACCAGGAGTCAACCGTCAAGCAAATGAAGGATTTCTACGAGATCCATTGCAAGGAGACAAGGAAGAATTGGCAGGAGCCGCTGGATGATGCGTTGGAGTATTTGGACGATTTTAAGGGGACGGTGAATGAGATGATTGAAAGGGTTAATACGACGAGGAATGATGTGAGTTCTCCCCTACTCAAACACCGTGACCAAACAGTAAGCTGACGGATAATGTGAAGTATGAAAAAATGCTCGAAATGGTCCAACGCCAAGCCCAAGTCGACGAGGTCCGCTGGTCACGCCTCCAAGCCGAGCTCGCCTCGTCCCAAAACCTCTCGGTCATGATCTTCACCACCTTCACCGTCATCTTCCTCCCGCTCACCTTTTTTACCGGACTATTCGGTATGAACGTTACCAACTGGCAAGAAGAACACATGCCCGACCTCGAGCAAGTCGGCTGGATCTCCCTGCCTACCTCGATCCTCCTAATCATTTTTTCGCTGGTTGCAGCATTCAGCTGGAGAGTCCAGAGAGGGTTCAAGGGGATATACAAGATTATAAGGGGGGGCTATAAGAAGGTTAAAAAGGGGTATACCCAGAAGCTGGAGCCGATGTGGAGGAAGGAGAAGAAACGGAGGAGGAGACAGGAGAAGAAGAGGAAATATGTGGAGAAGCAAACCGCGTGGGATAAGGATGGGATGTATGATTTTTGGGACAAGGTGAAGGAGAATCAGAGGAAGATTAGGTATCAGATTCCGGAGCAGAATAGGAGGACGTTGAGGGGGTGATATGTATGATGATTATGAAGAGATGGATAGAGATAGGTAATGGTAATCCAAATAATACATTCACAGAAATGCCTTCATGTCACGAATATGATGTGGACACCCGCAAAGAACAACCAATAGGGAAGAGGAGGCACGGCAGCCAATTAAGAGAAAGGAGGATGGACCAGTAAGAGGTGGATCATCCGGGACATGAAGGAATCATGAGCGATTCCCAGGAATCACTCATGATCCTTAGGAGTCGGTCATGATCCGGGGAGAAACAGAATGATCCAGGCTTGGCATTAGGTCTATATATACGGAGGAACTAGATAGCTTGCAGATAGTTCCGCAGTATGCAATTCACAGTTGTATTCACGGCATCTTGTGTTTACATCGAGACATCTTGTTGTGCACTGTTTAGCTGCACCGAACCAATTGTCAGAAGTTACCTTCAACCAGTATCCCTTTCAGAGGTTCTGTACAGGGGTTCGTCACATGTTGTGGTTGTTTTGTGTGTTTTCTCACCATTTCAATAGACTTCTATCCTCTAGGTACCTCCGTACCTGGCTCACCTCTGCCAAGATGTGAGCGCCCCATTGTCCTGCAGCTCCGCCGTTACATTTCACTTGATTGGCCACCACGGCCTGCTGCAGTTCCCACTCTGCTTTGCTATATGGTTAGTCTGTGACACATTAGGATAATAAGGCTTTACTAGCTTAGCATTTTAAGAGATTTCTAATTATTTATATAGTTAAACATTATAAAAAGAAAAAGATAGAAAAAAAGAGATTTATTAAAAACAAAACAAAAAATAATTATTAGTTAAATTTTAATTGAAGTTATTGGAGCGTCGATTTAAAGAAGAAGGGAATTATATTACGTTTTTAAATACAAACTTCTGGTAATATCGGCTAATTAGAAAGAAAAACGGAATAATTAATTAAAGAGATAAGAAATAAGCTTATTAAAAGAAAATTGTTAAGTTAAAAATATAATTTAGGAAAAAGATTATTAGATTATTATAATAATCTAACGATCTAGCTTTAGGAAATATTAGGGAAAGATAATAATTTAAGAGAGTAATGGTTTATATATATAGAAAAATATTTCGTAATATATAATATAAATTTTCTTTGTTAGTATTAAAAACTATTATAAATAAGATAACCTATTATTGTGCACTGATTAGCTACTATTAAACCATTGTCTAAAAGTACCTTTAACTGAGTATCACTTTCAGAGGATCCAGATCAGAGTTCGTCATACTTAATGAACCATTTAGCCGCACGCTTTTATCCACATGTTGAAGTAAATAATATATCCTTTGTAGAGTCGCCCCTCCTCGCAGCCATACTACATGATCGGCAGATTAGTTCTCAGGTGGGTGGCCACTTGGGAACCCCTGCTGTTGTATGTTTTTGCTTTTCAGCTTTTTGACCTGGCCGTCAAATGCCCTCAATTCCCATGTGCGGCTTTCCTCGGCAGAGCGGGGTTAGGGCGGGTCCCTTACCCCACGAAAATGATGCCCCACCCTGTTTTCAAATGTCAGAGGCTTGAGTGGCTGCACCTCGGGCGGGACGTCATTTGAACGGCTGCTTTCTTGGCCGAAAAATGAAATCGGAGCCGGCCCTCGAGACGAAGTGGAGAGTGGAGTGAGTGCTGGAACAAGACAAGCGGGTTGAATTGTGTGTGAGAGGAAGCCGGAGTGACCAAGTGCGATTCTTTTCTCCTCCCCTGACTGTGCAATCCTTTCCCTCGTCTTTTCTGCTGCTGTCTTGTTTGTTTCTTGTTTGCCCGCGGCTGTGGAATTTTTCTTGGGGAAACTGACTGAAAGAACGCCGTATGTGGTCATAGACCTATACTCTCTCGGCCGAAATTGTTCCCTTTGTCCCCCCGCTTCGACGACCGAGACAGACACTGTATTTGAATAGGATAGACCAAAAGACACAGTCATCATGTCGGCCTCTTCAAGACTCACCTCGACCCTCTACCGGCGGGCAGCCGCAACTGCAACCCCCCCCTCTCTCACAGCTACCTCGACGACAAGGGTACAGACACCACAGCTCGCGCGCGGGATTAGGGGCATATCATCCACAACCCCCAGCAGGTTACGACCTACCACCCTCTCCCGCTCAACCTATCCCCTCCAAAGGACAGCCGCCACCCTCCCTACGCTCCCCTCAACCCGTCTATACTTTTCCACCTCCGCAGAAGAAGACTCCTTCGACCCAGCCTCCATCGACCGCGAATCCGACGAAGTAGACGTCTGTATCATCGGCGGCGGCCCCGCAGGCCTCTCCGCCGCAATCCGCCTCAAGCAACTAGCCAACGCCGCCGGCAACGACGACTTCCGCGTCCTCCTCCTCGAAAAAGCCGGCGAGATCGGCGCCCACATCCTCTCCGGAGCCGTCATCCAACCCACCGCCATTGACGAGCTCATCCCCGATTGGCTTTCCGAAGACAATGAAAACCGCTTCACCGGCGCCACACCCGCGGGGAAGGACTCGATGAGCTTCCTGACCAAAAAATGGGCCATCCCCTGCCCTACTCCGCCTCAGATGCATAACGACGGGAATTACATCGTTTCCCTTAACGAATTCACCAAGTGGCTAGGGGAGCGGGCGGAGGAGGTCGGGGTAGAGGTTTATCCCGGTTTTGCGGCTAGCGAGGTTCTTTACAAGGCTGATGGGTCGGTCAAGGGTGTCGCGACGAATGATCTGGGGATTGGGAGGAATGGGAAGCCAAAGGATAGTTTTGAGAGGGGGATGGAGTTTCATGCTAGGGTTACGCTTTTTGGGGAGGGGTGTCATGGGTCGTTGACCAAGCAGGTGATTAAGAAGTTTGATTTGGAGGTCCGAGTCGGCAGCCGCAGACTTATGGGCTGGGGATTAAGGAGGTGTGGGAGGTGAAGCCGGAGAAGTTTGAGAAGGGGAAAATTGTGCATAGTATGGGGTATCCGCTGCCGATGGATACGTATGGGGGTGCGTGGATGTATCATTTTGGGGATAATCTTGTTTCGGTTGGGCAGGTGGTTGCGTTGGATTATAACAACCCGTGGCTGTCGCCGTATGGGGAGTTTCAGAAGCTGAAGCAGCACCCGCTTTACAGGAGTGTGCTGGAGGGGGGGAAGTGTATCTCTTATGGTGCTAGGGCGTTGGTGGAGGGGGGGTTTCAGTCGATTCCCAAGGTGGCTTTTCCGGGAGGGGCGCTGATTGGGGATACGGCTGGGTTTGTTAACGTGCCCAAGGTGAAGGGGACGCATAATGCCATGAAGAGCGGTATGTTGGCTGCCGAAGCGGCGTGGAACGCGCTGCAGGTTCCGGATAACAACTCCATTTTCCTCTATGACTACGAGGATGCCCTGAGGAAGTCGAGCATCTGGAAGGAGCTGAAAGAAGTGAGGAACATGCGCCCTAGTTTTCATTCTCCTCTGGGAATCTACGGCGGGATTCTGTATTCCGGCCTCGAGGCGTTTGTTCTGAAGGGACGTGTCCCCTGGACGCTGAAGCACAAGACGCAGGACCACGCCGCGACCAAGGACGCGAAGGACTGCAGCAAGATTGAGTACCCCAAGCCCGACGGGGAGATTACGTTTGACATCTTGACCAGTGTGAGCAGGACGGGGACGAACCATGAGGAGGACCAGCCAGTGCATCTGCAGGTCAAGGACTGGGAGAAGCACACGAGGGAGACGTGGCCGAGGTGGAAGGGGTTGGAGAATAGGTTCTGCCCGGCGGGGGTGTACGAGTATGTGGAGGATGAGGGGAAGGAGGAGGGGGTGAGGTTTCAGATCAATGCGCAGAATTGCATTCACTGCAAGACCTGTGATATTAAGGCGCCGAGGCAGGATATTAATTGGCAGGTGCCGCAGGGGC